TTCCTCGTCTCATTGCTACAACTGAGCACCGCTAACAAACAATGGAGCTCTACCTGGTATTTCCTGCATGAAAACAGTGTTTTAACACGTCCTCATATAAACACTGAAAAGAACTACATGTATTACTGACTAAATGTGAAATAAATAATACAGAAATGCTATGGAAAGTAAAAGTAAGAGTGTTTTACTCACTGCTGAGTTGTAATTACTGTAGCTGCCGTTTCCTACTTTCAAAACTGTTTCCCTGTAGAATTACCAGTTTCATATTTACCCAACAGATTTTATTCTGAAAGATATTAAACCAATAGAACCTTAAATTATTACACGCGCAAAACAAAAAAGGCTTTTAAACTTTAGTTCTGTTGTGTTATTTTAGGCCGCCTTGCATCTTATTTCCATGACTGTTTCGGACATTAATACAGGACTATTCAAATAAATTGATCTTTAAAGCCAACAGCTCAGGGGCCGGACAAATATTATCATCTCTCACCTGTAAAATTAGTTTATTTTGTTGCATTGAATCAGAAATTTAATTTAATTCAAACATTTTGGTGGGCCGGACGGCAGTCACCTGTGTGCCACATTTGGTCCGCAGGCCATAAGTTTGATTTGTGGTTTAAAGCAAATGGGTACAATTAACCCCAATGTATAAAATATAAGACTGTGTCTAAMATTCTGTTAATCAGTCACCAATTATCTTACAAAGCATTAAAGGGGTAGTCTGGWTATTTTAGATGTGGAGTTTTCCCACAAGATAAAAATGATAAAAAAGCAGACCTTTGTTTGCCAAGCCTGGACAAAGACTTTTGCTTTATTCTTCATGTTTTTTGGTTTTGTGGCTGATGTCAGAGCTGATAAGATGCTCAGTATGAACAACTATTTGACAGAACTACCCATTTAAAGTTGTCAGACTATGCCTTTAAGGGATGTCTCGACATATTTAGAACCAGTCCTCAAATCATATCCAAAAAAGGTGTGCATGAAAAAAAAAAGAAGAAAGAAAACATACAAGAAGGATTTCACAAATATTTTTGGAACGGTTCTCATCATTATCATCCTTTCATTTTCATTTACTGACTGAGCTATCATCGCCAACTTGKGAACAAAGAGCCTCCCTGTCCGTGGGGTTCAGTCCTGGCTGAAAAGCCCCAGGGATCTGAACTCTGAGGGGACCTTTTGAACCCTAATCCCCTCCGACATTAAAGCTAGATGACTTCTGCCGTGCACGGTTGCAATTTTAATAATCTGATCCTATTTTCGGAGGTAATGCACATCACCGAAAAGATTTAGGTCAGGAACAATCTCACAACTTGATCGACCCTAAGGTGAAGCTTTTATACTCTGTGTG